TTAACCCAGTCTAATCGTGTGATCTACTAGTGTAACAATGTAAGGAGATAATGACACAAATCTCTTCTTAACCTAGTCTAATCGTGTGATCTACTAGTGTAACAATGTAAGGAGATAATGACACAAATCTCTTCTTAACCTAGTCTAATCGTGTGATCTACTAGTGTAACAATGTAAGGAGATAATGACACAAATCTCTTCTTAACCTAGTCTAATCGTGTGATCTACTAGTGTAACAATGTAAGGAGATAATGACACAAATCTCTTCTTAACCTAGTCTAATCGTGTGATCTACTAGTGTAACAATGTAAGGAGATAATGACACAAATCTCTTCTTAACCTAGTCTAATCGTGTGATCTACTAGTGTAACAATGTAAGGAGATAATGACACAAATCTCTTCTTAACCTAGTCTAATCGTGTGATCTACTAGTGTAACAATGTAAGGAGATAATGACACAAATCTCTTCTTAACCTAGTCTAATCGTGTGATCTACTAGTGTAACAATGTAAGGAGATAATGACACAAATCTCTTCTTAACCTAGTCTAATCGTGTGATCTACTAGTGTAACAATGTAAGGAGATAATGACACAAATCTCTTCTTAACCCAGTCTAATCTTGTCAAATCTCTTCTTAACCTAGTCTAATCGTGTGATCTACTAGTGTAACAATGTAAGGAGATAATGACACAAATCTCTTCTTAACCTAGTCTAATCGTGTGATCTACTAGTGTAACAATGTAAGGAGATAATGACACAAATCTCTTCTTAACCTAGTCTAATCGTGTGATCTACTAGTGTAACAATGTAAGGAGATAATGACACAAATCTCTTCTTAACCTAGTCTAATCGTGTGATCTACTAGTGTAACAATGTAAGGAGATAATGACACAAATCTCTTCTTAACCTAGTCTAATCTTGTCAAATCTCTTCTTAACCTAGTCTAATCGTGTGATCTACTACTGTAACAATGTAAGGAGATAATGACACAAATCTCTTCTTAACCTAGTCTAATCGTGTGATCTACTAGTGTAACAATGTAAGGAGATAATGACACAAATCTCTTCTTAACCTAGTCTAATCTTGTCAAATCTCTTCTTAACCTAGTCTAATCGTGTGATCTACTAGTGTAACAATGTAAGGAGATAATGACACAAATCTCTTCTTAACCTAGTCTAATCTTGTCAAATCTCTTCTTAACCTAGTCTAATCGTGTGATCTACTAGTGTAACAATGTAAGGAGATAATGACACAAATCTCTTCTTAACCTAGTCTAATCGTGTGATCTACTAGTGTAACAATGTAAGGAGATAATGACACAAATCTCTTCTTAACCTAGTCTAATCGTGTGATCTACTACTGTAACAATGTAAGGAGATAATGACACAAATCTCTTCTTAACCTAGTCTAATCTTGTCAAATCTCACCTAGTCTAATCGTGTGATCTACTAGTAACAATGTAAGGAGATAATGACACAAATCTCTTCTTAACCTAGTCTAATCGTGTGATCTACTAGTGTAACAATGTAAGGAGATAATGACACAAATCTCTTCTTAACCTAGTCTAATCGTGTGATCTACTAGTGTAACAATGTAAGGAGATAATGACACAAATCTCTTCTTAACCTAGTCTAATCTTGTCAAATCTCTTCTTAACCCAGTCTAATCGTGTGATCTACTAGTGTAACAATGTAAGGAGATAATGACACAAATCTCTTCTTAACCTAGTCTAATCGTGTGATCTACTAGTGTAACAATGTAAGGAGATAATGACACAAATCTCTTCTTAACCTAGTCTAATCGTGTGATCTACTAGTGTAACAATGTAAGGAGATAATGACACAAATCTCTTCTTAACCCAGTCTAATCGTGTGATCTACTAGTGTAACAATGTAAGGAGATAATGACACATATCTCTTCTTAACCCAGTCTAATCTTGTCAAATCTCTTCTTAACCTAGTCTAATCGTCTGATCTACTAGTGTAACAATGTAAGGAGATAATGACACAAATCTCTTCTTAACCTAGTCTAATCGTGTGATCTACTAGTGTAACAATGTAAGGAGATAATGACACAAATCTCTTCTTAACCTAGTCTAATCGTGTGATCTACTAGTGTAACAATGTACGGAGATAATGACACAAATCTCTTCTTAACCTAGTCTAATCTTGTCAAATCTCTTCTTAACCTAGTCTAATCGTGTGATCTACTAGTGTAACAATGTACGGAGATAATGACACAAATCTCTTCTTAACCCAGTCTAATCGTGTGATCTACTAGTGTAACAATGTAAGGAGATAATGACACAAATCTCTTCTTAACCTAGTCTAATCGTGTGATCTACTAGTGTAACAATGTACGGAGATAATGACACAAATCTCTTCTTAACCTAGTCTAATCGTGTGATCTACTAGTGTAACAATGTAAGGAGATAATGACACAAATCTCTTCTTAACCTAGTCTAATCGTCTGATCTACTAGTGTAACAATGTACGGAGATAATGACACAAATCTCTTCTTAACCCAGTCTAATCGTGCGCTCTACAAGTGTACTTGGTTTAAATATAGTCACACAACACATTAAAAAGCGATATCAAGGTAATTTCCTCATTCTTGTAATCATGAGTAGAATTGAACCACGAACGTGCTTCACTATAATCCGCCCTAGTTGCAGACTGCTGATTATAACCGTACAGAGTGTCCATTGATAAATCTTTTACAGTCAAAGCTGGATTAAGTGTACTGTTACTGGAAATTATTGTTTGGCAAATCAAGTACTGATAAAAACGAGAAACAAACACACTATGGAAATAGATACAGGGAAAAAAACAATGTCGTAACATATTTATGTATAGAAGCTATAAACTCAACATATCCCTGTCTCTAACTCCACTTGTCATTGCTTACACACTCAGTATGTACGAGTCGTGAAAAACTCAATTACTGCTGTCTGATTAGATATTGATTATTGTGTCATCATCGACAGATTTATTGTAAAAAAATTCAGGTTATGGATAACACGTGACCCCTTCCTTAAAGAATATAATAATAACTGAGAGGACACATCCGGTATGTGACTCCCATTACAGGGGCTCTGTTACATCATCGTTAAACCCGTCAACCATTTTGTCACCTTGTCCGAACCGCCCGTGCTTCTTACATCGGTTTTGAGTTTTATATCAACAACACTGGCATGCTAGTTTATCTTTTCTGATTTATCTTAAAGTATTACAATTAAGTACTGGAAGTTGTATGGAAGTGGAACATTCACGCCTCCACTCAGAGAGATAATATGACTGCTTGTAACCCGACTACGAACACTGCAAACATTTACCGCCCACCACTAATGCGAAACAAGATATCAGTAAATATTAATCATTGATGTTGGCCCGGATGGAAGCCTACAGTGGATCTTACTGAACTTCTAACCCAGACGGCTAGGTGAAAGACGTGTTCGTTACCACTGCGCAACATTACTGAACTTCCTTGTCATGTCCGTTCTGGAAATCTAACCCAGACGGCTAGGTGAAAGACGTGTTCGTTACCACTGCGCCACCCGACCACACGCTAAAAGGTTGTAGGAGGTACACACGATCAAAGTAGAATAAACCCCATATAATGAACAATTTACCAGTGATTGTAAGAACAATCTGTCTAATCTTATCATGTGTCGTCACGGGCAGCGACCTTGTTAAAACCGGAACAATTTCCCTGTCACTTATTCCTAGAACAGTTATCTTTTCCCTGTCACTGAGTATAATCTTGTGTGTCTTTTGTACAATCCTTGTTATAACTAGAACGGTCTTCAGTTTTGTCACTGGCTGTAACCGTTTTGTAACTAGAAAAGTCTCACTGTTTTGTCACTGTCTGTAACCGTTTTGTAACTAGAAAAGTCTCACTGTTTTTTCACTGACTGTAACCGTTTTGTAACTAGAAAAGTCTCACTGTTTTGTCACTGTCTGTAACCGTTTTGTAACTAGAAAAGTCTCACTGTTTTGTCACTGTCTGTAACCGTTTTGTAACTAGAAGAGTCACACTGTTTTGTCACTGTCTGTAACCGTGTTGTAACTAGAAGAGTTTCACTGTTTTGTCACTGACTGTAACCGTTTTGTAACTAGAAGAGTCACACTGTTTTGTCACTGTCTGTAACCGTGTTGTAACTAGAAGAGTTTCACTGTTTTGTCACTGAATGTAACCGTGTTGTAACTAGAACAATCTCCATGTTTTCTCAATGGCTGATACCACATTATTGCAAGGGATTTGATATTTACACTTTCACCAGCCATACAATGAGCTCATCAGTCTCCTTCATGCCATCACACTTCCTGTGATCCATTTTCATTAAATATATGAAGCAGCAAAGAACAGAAATATGCTACCAATCACAAGATTTAACTACACCTTGTGTATCCTATGTCATACTTAAAAATCCAAAAAGAAAAACAAACCATTCAAATCGATTTCACAAGATTTTAATTAACAACATCTTATACGTTAGTATACATATAAAGTATTTCCCATGTTGAAAGATGAAGGATGTAAGGCTTGTATTAATGTTTTCACTGAATTGCATTTAAATAAAACTTTTTACATGTAACTGTCTTTACCATGCATGTACACGATAAAATGTCTTTTGAAATGTCGATATCAACTGAAGCACAGACACACCTGTCCATATTTTGTTGTTGAACGAAAATTATGAAAGACGCAATTATAAGTGCACATCGGTCAATCACTTTCTTAAGCAGAAATCAATTTATCTGATTTCGTGGGTAATCTTTTGCTAGAAAGTCTTCACGAATCAATAAACCGTTACAACGAACACAGATTTTTAATATCAGGATATATGATGTTTTTATACATTTTGTAGACGAAGGGATTGTTCTCGTTTTTTAACGTTGAAAACGAAATTGGAGTCTGTTTGAGTATGCATTTTTACGTTCAAATCTTCTAGAAAATATCCAACACTTCCTATGTTCATGTTCCGAAGGTCACGTGTATTACCTCCGGTATTTACATAAGTCAGTACAGTCTCGTCTAAAATTGCTGTTGGTCAAGCAATATACTATCGGATTAATCACGTGGTTCAGGACATGGAATCGGTAAAGAACTCCCGCCATTGAACCAAGATATTTAAACATATCCGCTCTCAGCTGCCAATCAAAGCTCTCGATACATCTTATCACCAAAACGGGTACGAAAGATAAAAATGACAAGCAAGTACACATGAGAAACATGAAGGAAATCTTAGCGCTTTTTGTGTACAGGGTTTTCCCGCTCAAATTCGAACTTATATGTCTCGTCGATCCATGATTTTGAAAGGAAGAATTCAGATCGGAGCTTGTCACACTTTTTAAGGACATTCTTCGTACACTACATGCGTTGTTTCTTTCCATTGACTGATCCTGATTGTGATCACATGACATGTTCTTAATTGTTGAATTTTGATATCTAAACGGCACCATGTGAGGTCGGTGTTTTCTGTGTTGTAAAAGGGTCCTTCCTATTATACAATACAATACTGTACACACAATTATTTTAAGGAAGAGAAACAGGATTATTATCTGGCTGAATATTTTAGCAAATGTTCCTTCTTTGTTTATCAAACAGCTGTGACCAATAAGATTACCCACCATGATACGTTGGGAACTGAAGGTAAAAAGTCCCAGTGTAGCCAATGCTATGTTAAATCCTGCCAAACAGATACAAACTAACTTTACTCGCATTAAACTGAAGTCCTCTTTCAATGGCCTGCATGTTTTCCGGAATCTTTCTATTGCTATAAAACACAACAAGTCTACTGAAAAAGCTCCAACAAATATATGAAACATTGTCGTACCTCGACAAAACACATCCGATTCGATGGAGTACCGGAAACGAGACAGTGCTATGTAACCAGGAATACTGAAAAAACAGCTCAGCAAGTCAACAAAGGCTAGACATTGAATGAGTATTCTATAGTTTCGCCATCTGTCACGTCGGCCTACGGTCAAAATGACCATAACATTTCCCAGAGTGCCAATGACACTCAGACTGGACAGAAACACAGTCAGTGGTATGTCCTTCTTCACAAAATCCTGCCATTCTATTTCATGTAATGTTAGTGTGTTGTTGCTTACTTGCAATGGACTATGGTTCATCCTTGCTGTTTTGCTGTCAACTTTACACACAGATAACTTTTGTATGCTCTGACAGAAACCCGGATGTCACATTGTTATATTCGGTCTCCTGTTTTCTTCACAACGTCAATTGGAGCATGATAATATGCTAATGCAAAAATATCCTTTTACAGTTAAATAACGAAAGTTAATACACAACATGACCGAATCCACTGTTTAGTATACTGAATGAATTATTCTCTACTCAATGGCAAAACGAGAGCATATGTTACACAATACGCTACACACCCCTCTGATAACACGCCGCTACATACGATTATCCCAGAGGACATATATAAATTATTATTTTAAAATGATTACAACAGAAAATGGAGGCCATCCATATCAAATCGTCTTTAGTATTCACAGCACGTGCGTATCCGTCTGCTCCATACTCGGATAAATTTATGCTATTTAAATGATTTATATGGATGAAATTGATACGATATGACGTCACATCAGTCAGGAAAAACCAAGATTGTTAATGGTTGAATGACCCATTAGCACAGGAAGGTGATCTAGTGTTATTTCAAGGTAATAGTAGTGATAGGATCCGTGACAAAGTTCAGACAAGCAGGATAGGTGAGAAAACACCTAGTTAATTTCAGGCATCTCGGTGTGCATTTTCTTTCCGCGAAACTGACATATGATAAGAAATGCACTGATCGATACATAAACAAGTAAGTATAAAAGAGACGAAAAATAGCACTCTTCAGTGGCTGTAGATGATGATGTGTAAATGGTTCACGTATCTGATGCTTTGAAACTCACATGGCCATTCGGTTATTTCATAAAGTTATTGTACCCAATAACCTTCCATCCTGTAGCTTTAGTGTACTAGGCTTTTATCATTGTTATCAGAGACAGACAGTGACAGATGTGTTCGCGCACTTCCTTCCAATAAAATTTGACCTGCAGGATGAACATGTCATTCAGTAGCCATTTATATGAATTCTATCTGTTTTCAAACGGAAGGGATGGACATGTAGGTGTTAAAATACAAGCTAACATGAAGATAAAAGATGATGTTTGTTTTTAGTGAAACAAAATCTGACAAACACTATTAAACTAAATAATGATATAATCGATCACCTCTGTGTAAAGAGGACAGATATATCACAGAGATTAAGTGTCTTTAAAAAGTAAAACCTCGTGGTTACAGGTAAGTTATATTGCAAACTTCAGGATGCAACATTGAATTCAATACAATCGATAACGCCTATTGTTGATAACTTTTTGACGTCGTTACACTACATAAATACTTGATATCACCCTGTAAAATATGAGTGGTAAAGGTTGTAGAAAATAGACACGTGAACCATCTTTCTATAGGTAAGTACGTATCTATAAAGTGTGACAAAAATATTATCTGTAATCAAATACCAAGTACTATCCTTTTCATGTTTGTTATTTGAAATATTTTTGCATGTTTTGAACAGTATCATCAAGGCAAATCACACTATATAGATTATCATTATGTGATAGGCTGTTTATTTACAAACAAACAAAAAAAACACTATCCGAGAGGCACTATCATGAATGTCTCCCGTCTTTGCTGCTGTGGGAGTGTAGAATTAAACTTCAAATCATTCAAATATTTTCTTCATGTTTCTTTCTGTTTTTTTTTTTTTTTTTTCTCTTTTTTTCTTTTTTTTCCACAAGTACTTATAACTCAAATCTATAGTGCTGAGTGAGTCAGTTTGTTTTCCGGAGGCACGTCAATGTATCTCCGTTGTTACTGTAAATCTGCTTAATTTTGAAAAGAGCTAATGGTTGATAATAACTAGTTCCAATGAACTATTGACCGATGATGAGAACATGTATCATTCATTAGTGCATACAGTGCACAGAAGTTCAACGGACATACGACATACATTAATTTGATAAGTATGTACACGTAGTTTCGCTTTACTCTTAGTAACCGAGACTGTCTCGAAATGAACCACTCATCCGGTATGATTACCAACTGCTATAGAAGCTGTGATTAAAACTGAAAATTACTACAATATTTTTATAATGAAACATTACTGTTTTGAATAATTCCATAAATGAAAACAAACAAATAAAAAATTTGATAATCAACATATTATGACAACATAACAAGATGTGGACATATTAATTTTTCGTAACGTAAATTAAATCAAACTAGGACACAAGTTGAACAAAGTACTAGGGGAATAAGACCAGATGTTCCGGGAGAGTCATCGACATCAAACACTATGTAGATATTGGACTAAGTAAGTAATGTCATGTTCTCAAATGAGAACAAGGTATACAACAACGAAACAGCAGACAAACTAACGAGCATCAAACATATCCAGCGTAATATCACAAAAAGGAACAGCAGACAAACTAACGAGCATCAAACATATCCAGCGTCATATCACACAACGGAACCAACAGACAAACTAACGAGCATCAAACATATCCAGCGTAATATCACAAAAAGGAACAGCAGACAAACTAACGAGCATCAAACATATCCAGCGTCATATCACACAACGGAACCAACAGACAAACTAACGAGCATCAAACATATCCAGCGTCATATCACAAAAAGGAACAGCAGACAAACTAACGAGCATCAAACATATCCAGCGTCATATCACACAACGGAACCAACAGACAAACTAACGAGCATCAAACATATCCAGCGTCATATCACAAAAAGGAACAGCAGACAAACTAACGAGCATCAAACATATCCAGCGTCATATCACACAACGGAACCAACAGACAAACTAACGAGCATCAAACATATCCAGCGTCATATCACACAACGGAACCATCAGACAAACTAACGAGCATCAAACATATCCAGCGTCATATCACACAACGGAACCAACAGACAAACTAACGAGCATCAAACATATCCAGCGTCATATCACACAACGGAACCAACAGACAAACTAACGAGCATCAAACATAGCCAGCGTCATATCACAAAAAGGAACAGCAGCAAAACTAACGATCATCAAACATATCCAGCGTCATATCGCAAAAAGGAACAGCAGACAAACTAACGAGCACCAAACATATCTAGCGTCATATCACACAACGGAACCAACAGACAAACTAACGAGCATCAAACATATCCAGCGTAATATCACAAAAAGGAACAGCAGACAAACTAACGAGCACCAAACATATCCAGCGTCATATCACACAACGGAACCAACAGACAAACTAACGAGCATCAAACATATCCAGCGTCATATCACAAAAAGGAACAGCAGCAAAACTAACGAGCATCAAACATATCCAGCGTCATATCACACAACGGAACCAACAGACAAACTAACGAGCATCAAACATATCCAGCGTCATATCACACAACGGAACCAACAGACAAACTAACGAGCATCAAACATATCCAGCGTCATATCACATAAAGGAACCAACAGACAAACTAACGAGCATCAAACATATCCAGCGTCATATCACACAAAGGAACCAGCAGACAAACTAACGAGCATCAAACATATCCAGCGTCATATCACACAACGGAACCAACAGACAAACTAACGAGCATCAAACATATCCAGCGTCATATCACACAAAGGAACAGAGCAGACAAACTAACGATATCACACAACGCATCAAACATATCCAGCGTCATATCACACAACGGAACCAACAGACAAACTAACGAGCATCAAACATATCCAGCGTCATATCACACAACGGAACAAACATATCCAGCATATCACACAACGGAACTAACAGGCAAACTAACGAGCATCAAACATGTCCAGCTTCGTATCACACAACGGAACCAAAAGGCAAACTAACGAGCATCAAACATGCCCAGCTTCATATCAACAGAGAAATAAACAGGCAAAACTAACGAGCATCAAACATGTACAGCTTCATATCACACAACGGAACTAACAGGCAAACTAACGAACATCAAACATGTCCAGCTTCATATCACACAACGGTCATATCACAAAAAGGAACAGCAGACAAACTAACGAGCATCAAACATATCCAGCGTCATATCACACAACGGAACCATCAGACAAACTAACGAGCATCAAACATATCCAGCGTCATATCACACAACGGAACCAACAGACAAACTAACGAGCATCAAACATATCCAGCGTCATATCACAGAACGGAACCAACAGACAAACTAACGAGCATCAAACATATCCAGCGTCATATCACAAAAAGGAACAGCAGACAAACTAACGAGCATCAAACATATCCAGCGTCATACCACACAACGGAACCAACAGACAAACTAACGAGCATCAAACATATCCAGCGTCATATCACACAACGGAACCAACAGACAAACTAACGAGCATCAAACATATCCAGCGTCATATCACACAACGGAACCAACAGACAAACTAACGAGCATCAAACATATCCAGCGTCATATCACAAAAAGGAACAGAATTTTGTTTTAATGAGAGCACTAACTAGAGTTGACCTAAAGCTTCCTCTTGTATCTTTTGAGACCCTTGTTACGAGTTTGTACGAAATTCGTGATAATGGGAACAGGTCCTCGAATATCCGGAATCAACTGTGACAGGAGGCAGGGATGTTGTTCTCCAGAAATGGAAAATTAAAAAGTAAGGGGACTTGGAACAATCACGATTATCATATAGTTTGGTTGAAAACTTTCCATGTTTCGTTGGAGGAAAACATTGAGGATGAGCGGCTGAAGTGGAAGAATCTGTTGTGTTATTGATTTCCAATTCTGATAGGGTATGCACGATGAACATAATCAAACAGTAAAGCTCTTGCTATCTAAATACAAGGCGTCATTGATACACCTGATATTGACAAGGTCTTTGAAACCTGTTTTAATCAACTTTACGATAAAATCAGCCCTGTATGAAAACAAAACCAAGTCAGTCAACAGAGCGTCACAATTAGTTCCGACATGTATATTTTGTATACCAAAATTAACAATTAACCCATGTTGTTTAAACTTGGTATCAGAAGACAGTATTGGTAACATTCCT